GTTTCGAATGAAAAGGAAAAAAAAAAAAAAAAAAGGAAGAAAGGGGAGAGAAGCACGATTGTTGAACCGCAAACATCTTCTTATCGTTCATCTGAAATGTTCATTTTTTTATGGATTTCTTCTTTTCATTTTATTCTTAGGAGAAAATTAATATGTTTAAATTATTTATCTTAAGAAAAGTGGAATAATTTTTAATACGTACACGGTGATATATAATCACGTAAATAATATAATTTTAACAAAATTTTTAAAAAAAAATTTAACAAAATTTCTCGTTCGTTTCCTTACTTTTTTTTTTTCTCAACGTTTTTCTACCCTTCAGCTTTACTCTTTACCCTTCGCCTCGATGGAACGACAATGCCACTCCCTTCCTCCAAGGAGAGGCTATCTTCCACGACCGTGACCATAACCGCGCTATCATTTACACTTTAAAACGACTACGGAAGATAGAGTGGTTGCGTATCTTTAATTAAAAGAGACGGTTGCTTAAAGGAGCGAAATAAAAAGATTCTCCACCCTGTACGCCGCGAGGGTGTCACGTTATTAAAGAGCGAATCTTTCAAATTTTTTTTCCATTCTACGTTGGATTAATAACTTGGTTAAACCGGAAACGTTTCACGATAGTTTAAACGGGGATAAAAAAAAAAAAAAGTAATTTAAAAAATTCATCTCTACTTTACTTTTAATTAACAATCTTATCTTTATCCTTCTTTCAATCTTCTATAAATTAAATTTCTCTAAATTTAATGATATATGTATCGAATAAATAAAATATGAAATATTACACAAGATAAGCTCAAGATAAAATATATTTATATGGTTTACGTGCACGAATTTCTTCTAAAAAAAAAAAGAAAAAAATAACAAAAAGAAAATAATGTACGTAACATGTAACGTGAAAATTTTGTTCCACGTTTAAACAGGTTGTGAAAACGAATTAATCATCGCTATTTATCAGCGTGTTTTCATTTTGATATATATATATATATATATATACATATATAATATATATATATATATATATATACATAAAATTTCTTCTCTCTTTTTTCAACAGGAACATCGAAACGTATTTCGATAAATTAATATATCATAACATTTCCAACCCGTACGCATGTATATTAAACAGGTTGTTATTTTTAAACTAACATCACACGTTCTGCCACGGATTTCGCAAATGTATTTCAAACACCGCGCTCATGAAAGATTCAAGAAAGAAGGATGCCCGGTTCCTATGTCGATGAAATACAAGCTGCAGGTAATTAGCTGGGAGCTCGTGCAGTATTTACGGCCATTTAATCCGGATAGAGCAATTAGTATATATCGATGGTGCCAGGTTGGTGGTTACAGATGTAGGATAGGCCCCTACCTACCACGTATAATCCGGTTTTAATTAAATAACCGAGTCTCTCTCTTTCTCTCTCTTTCTCCCTTCCACTCCTCGTGCCAGCCTCGTCGTCTCCCTTTTTTCTTTTCAACTTGCTTCCGTACCTTCAAGAATCCCCACCTTCTCCCTCCCTTCTCCCATCTTTAAACGTAATCTAAACCTTATCAAAAATCTATCAAAAATTTTCCACTTAAACATAATCGATACACTTTCTCTCTCTTCGCAATTTCAGATGTAAAGAATGTAAAGAAATTGATGTTTACGCTTTGCATAATTCTACTTTTATCAGATCCAATGCAATAAATTTTTATATTTTGTAAATGTCATAATTAGAAATCTGCTTTTATCAAATAATATAGAAATACGTGGAAAATGATTTTTGCAGTTTCAGATCTAAATTTATAAACAATCTTTCCACTTAACGCACGATTCTTCTCTTTTCTTTCATATCTCTAAATATAAACCTATCAAAAATTTTGCATTTAAACTATAATTCATACTTTCTCTTCGTAATTTAAAATATAAAGAATGTAAAGAAATTGACAGATCCAATACAATAAATTTTTATTTTGCAAGAATTCTGCTTTTTTCTATTCAAATCTATAGAAATACGTGGAAAATGATTTTTGCATAGTTAGTAATTCCACGTACTTTTTTTTAGTTTCAGATCTAGATTTACAAATAAATAAATTTTATACTTAACGCACGATTGTCGATCCTTTATTTCAGTTTTGCGTCGTAATCGTAATTTCTTCGTATTCGCCGAAAAAGAAGATTCGCAAGGAGATGTTACGAAGGAGAGAAAAAAAAAAAAAAAAAAAAAATAACGCAAGTTTGAAAATGCTTTGGTATCGGTGAGACCGTAATTCGATAATAGGTTCGAATAACAAAAATAAATTGCACATGTAATATTTGATATCCGAGTTGGGAAAAAGATTCGAACTTTAAGCCGGCGGTGAGTGTGGTGAAACATATCGTACGGTATAAGTCGTTGGACAGAAAGGGTTGTCGGTGGTTTCGCGCCGTGGCGTCACCATCACCGATTCCCTCAGGCATTTAACCGCAACTGTTGTCTCGATGGGCTGGGTTACTGCCCCTGGATACATCGCCACGATCTCCATCCTTTACTTTTCCTACACGCTCTTTGATTAATCTATTAATTTCGTACACTCGTCCCTTCTTCGCCTGCCACATCATTTTTAATTCGAAGACATCAAAATTCGCGTCAATTTTTAACGTTGACAAATTTTTCTTCGAAAAATACATAA